CCCCAAAACCCCAAAACCCCTAGGATCCACCGAATATTAAAAGGGCAAATTCAAAATTAATAATATAGCAAAATGTAGTTTGAGTAAAATTGGAATAACCAGAATGAGGTAAATTTTTCATTTAAAAGTGAAAGATACTCTCAAAACTAAAGCAGCACTTGCTCGACTTTGTCTCAATCAGCAATCTCTAATATAGGAAATGAAAAAATTGGGTATTTGCAAAAAAATTTCTTATAAGAACTTGCTTAAAGCCTAGGTAAGATCAAATCAGAATTAAATCATTTAGCATAATTTACGATGAGTAACAACAACTACTGTTTAGAGTAAAGTTAAAGATAAAGATTCAACTCAGATCCTATTAAATAGCAGCAGTGTCTAGACATCGTTCCAGAACAAAGCTGCAGCAATCATGATCAAATCACAAGTTACCAGAGAGAGTTTTAGGACTCTCTGATGAATTCTGAGATTGCTTAACCGAAATTTAAAACCAAGTATAAAACTGAGATGTGTCACAATTGGGACTTATATGGATTTTGTAGTTTCGGAGATCAATGTTCATTCGCTCATGGCAGAGATGAGCTACATCTGATCGACAGAAATCCTTATAAGTATAAAACTAAACTCTGCAAACAATATCATTAGCATATGTATTGTCCTTATGGGAAAAGATGCTAATTTCTTCATGATTAGACTGAAAAGAAAATAATGAATCAGAATAGTTCATACTAATATAAACTGTAAAACTTAGTAAGTTAAGTCTAGAAAGAACCTAATAACATGTCAAAGTTATTAAGATGTCCTAACTCTTAGTAAGAATCAGCATTAGCAAGCAGACTCAAAGTATTCAAGGAGATAGCTCATCAGTCTGTCTCAAACATTAAAAGCTCAGTACTAGTCCCTTAAATCAAGAATTCCAATCATAAAGTCTAGGACAAAAGGACCAAGAATAGAAAAATGATTGTCATTTGTGAACCCGCTACCAAATTCGAATGAAGCAATGCTCTAAGAATATAACAATAGCTAATATATTTAAAGGTATCAATGATCCATTTGTATCAATGAAGGACCAAACTATTTAATAAGACTAAGGAAGATTGAGAAAAAATAATATAACTTGAGTTATCAACATTGTGGTATAATTTCCAAAGTAGTAACTGAATAGGAACTAGGAAATTTATCCTTACTGTATATACTAAAATATTGCTACTATTAATTTCTTAATCTTCAACTTTAATTGTTTTAGCATGGGGTTTTGGGGTTTTGGGGTTTTGGGG